AGGAGCATGTAAGACCTGTTTCCTGGTAGCATATATTTCTGCACCTGCGAAACCAGATATTCACACGTAACACATTGGCTGACTCACAAATTACCGACTAACAGCTAGATGAATTGAAAAACAGTTAAGAAGCACTAATAGGATGACAAACAATCCTCAGTGATAGGCGATAACCCTCGTGCTCTCTGCCAGTCGAATAAGGCGTATAATCCGTAGTTATACACGTTGGCTCGTTTTCTTCAAAAGTATGATATCAGCTGCTATAAAACTCCCATAAAAGGATTCTAGGTCCTGGTTAATCTGGTTTACAATATTCTGCCATCCGTTATGAACGGCTACGGTGTTATTCCGCAAATGTGTCAAGATGGCTTTTATCAGGTTACAGTAGCTCACGAATAGTTGTACATCTGCAAACCTCATTCACACATCAATCGCAACAGCAGTCTCGAGACGAAGTTCACATATCTGTAGAAGAAACAACGTCAGAGATTTGCGTAATCACAAGCTACAATAAATCCTACAGAATTAAACATTTTTCGGCGGAAAGTTCCGGGATAGAGAGTTTGCATATTTTGAACATAGGCAATGAAGCATCGCGTGGGCTTAGTGAAACGCAAAGATAAACCGGCTTCGTCTAAGTAATCTCCTTATTGTTCAACCCCGTAATCGACCGCAATCTCGGACATGTTTTCGCCATACACATTTAGATCAGAAGGTTCAGACTTGAGTCAACATCAGAACGGCAACTAGTCCAAGATTTCCAGCAAAATGCTGTTCTTCACGCATAGTAAGCTGCAAATATACAATGTAGAAGGCAAGGTAGATGAAAGGCGGCTTGTAGCTCTTGACTCTCCTTCATACTCGGCTAAAACCCCTCGTGTTTGAAGAGGGCGGCAGTCACACGGAGCTGAACCCACTACCTCTAACGTAGAGTGAAATCATTTTCTGATCTCAGCTGAATCGCGATATCAAAGAAAAGTTTTAACTTGAAGTGCACGAACAATAAACTGGAAAAACCACACAATTGTCAGTGTTAATAACTTCAACTAGCTTGACAATTTTCCTACGTTATTCCGATCCTTGTCATCGACTGGATGTCCAACGACTGGCTGGTAAACTAGTAGAAATGTTATGCAAGTTACAATAAAAATGAACCTAAAAGCATAGAAGAATAGCATGTGGAAGCCCTGCATCAATTATGACCAGAATTCAGGATCCATATCAACTACTTTTATCCAGACAGTACCAAGGTGCTGGTGTCACATGGCATTAAAAGTGAACCGGCTAGGATCAGATCTAATTGCTGGGGACATAGAATGCTGTGTCACAGGTGGACATACCTAGGATGCGAAATTAGTAGGACCAGTCAATCCGCTGGTTTCGTTTAAGATTTAACGCCATAAAACCGAGGTCAGTACACAAGGATGCGGTCAACCAACAGGATTTATTAGAGAATTCGTGGACAGTGCCCACAGCATGTTGAGGTCTATTAGCTGCATCAGGATCACCGGTCGCTTGCAGCATGGGACAAGAAGATAACTTCACAGTACTTTAGTCTGGAGAAAATGGAGAACATTATTGACTTGTTTCACCTTTGCGTGTAAAGTCGCAGTACACTGTACTACCTGGCTTAGCATGCGGATGCTGAAGGTGAAGTGGTTTGTCCACTTGTACGTGGTACCGGAGGAAAGCATTTGGTTCCGTCCGTTAACACGCGAAATATCGGTGGCGTTGCTAGTATGTCAATCATGCTCAATGGTCTTGGACACGATCTCAATTTGGTCATGCACCTGTCTCTTCTTTCGATGTCAATGGATCTACCAAACCGTGGCTAAATAAATCACCTTGCTTCGTGATGGCGGCTGAGTTTTGCGCAGATACGTTGATGTCGGTACCTTTATAACACAGTACTGTCGCCTAGTGGGTGGTCGCTAGTCTCTGCGATCAGCCTCCTCCTATAGAATCATCACGTTTGCTGGCAACATACAATCCACCCGGAGTCCAGAAGAAATAATCTACCGACCGCCTCCACCTTCTATCTTCTGCGGTCAGCTGCAGTGTGCCACGTTGCTCTCCGCAAGTTTTCCACCACTGTGTGCAGAGTATCATGAGGTGTTGTATCGATACAGTATAAGATATCACACAGAATTTGTGGCAAGGACAGATCCGACGACGAAAACACTAGGCAATATAAGAAGATTAACTGATGATACTTTAATGGATTGTGACATTCTAGAGGTGTAGCTTGGGTATTATGCAGTGCATCTCAACGTTTTCGAGAATTCCATGCATCCGCAAATTAACAAGATTAATGTTCATTCGTCAAGCTCCCTTGCGCGCTAAAAGTGACGTATTTGCTCGTTTCACTTGGCTCCGTTTGAAGAGGACAGGACAGCTCTTTTTCTACGCTACCCCGCTAGTTCGCCGAATGCCCAAATGTGGAATACCACTTTAATGATCACAATAAATTGCTCAACGTTGAATTATCATGTGTGTTTATTGCAAAACGTATGGAAGCTGCACAAGGGGAAATTGTGATGACTGGTACTAACAGTCTTGGAAAATATGCCGCACGAACGAAAGGACAGTAACTGTACGATACCAAACCGTTGGTATGGTGGTTGGATTATCGATCAATCTCACTTTGTGCGTCGCAAAGTTTTAAGTAGGGATTGTGCGTGGCGGCAATCGGAGTATTCTCTATTACTGAGAGCATTGATTAAGCATTTATTCCGCGACTTTTTGCAACTGCCGCAATTTAAACACTTCTTGTTCATGTCCGTCGAAGAGAGGGAGCTACCTATAAATAAGGACAACAAGATGAAAGTAGATGAATGAAGAGCGAAATGAAGTAGGTTTGTTAAACGATACCGAGGGAAATGCAGTTAAGCACGGTAGGGCGAAATTTTCAAATAAATCGTACGTTGGCTACCATTGGTAAAGACCCTCAGGGTATAGCCGCGTTCCAGAAAAAAAATGAAGTATAATCGCAAACACAAGATTGCCGAGATTATGTCCTTTACCTTAAATCATTTTAGGATGAAGAATGCTATTTAAACATACACCTCTACGGTTTGTTTTCCACTAGGAAGTTCGCAAAATGCTTACTTCGAAGTACGGTACGATGTTTTCATCATGACAAATTAATGTAGTTAGTGGGATTTGATCTACTGTTACGCTCGCGTAGTCAATGTAGTTCCCCGAGACAACCATACACTTACCAACCTTCAGTCTTTCAGTTGTGGTCTGTGAAGTTAACAGAAACAAAATACGGATGACGAAATGTTTTCTTCGCTTTGAGAGTAACTGTGCTGATCTCCGGAACAGACGCTTTCGTACAATGATGATTGCCACTGTTCACTGGAAAAACACCGAAGTGGGCAACTGTTAGACTTAGTCACACCACAACTGCAAGAATTGAAACAGGCACTCTACACATCCACATCTGATCAAGTGTAGAGTCAAGGGAAATTGCCGGTGTGGGCTGGCATATGGTTACTTTACCAGCACCCGTACCTAACTAATTGGGAGATGCAAGTATAGGCCGGATATTCACCCTTGGTTACAAAACAATGATCACACTGGACACGAGAAACAGTAAATCCTGTGCATGGTTACTCGGCTTTTCGTTTTGATCTTTAGACATATGATTGGTCCTGTACGTTAGCAAACGGTGTATGGTCCCTTTGAAGGGACCAAGGAATGGTCCACGGTCATTCTGCGCAATATGGGCGCAGTAAGAGTAATATTACAAGGTGTTCAGAGAACAACCTCTTCGAATTCTCTATCATTATGCTTATCACTCACGCTTTACTAAACTAGCATAGCAACATTCGACAGATATAAGAATGCCAGCGGATGTTACTGCGGTTTCGCTCCACTTGAACCAGAGCAACCAGCTGGCATTTCAGCAACAGGGAGGGTCGCTGAGGCCAGGGTTTCTGTTCCGCCAAACTAACATCTAGGCTTGCTGGGACACCTCGTTTAGAAACGTTTTGAGATCGGCGAAATCAGCAAATTTAAATTAATGAATATGCGCTTACTCTCGACGAAGTGTGACGTACCAGCATAATCGTGCTTATGGAGGAGAGCTGATGTACAGAACATCGACCAGAGCTTAGGCAGAAAACTTCGAAAACTGTTCACTAATGTTGATTTGCAGGGTTTGAGTGGTGTATGGAAGCTTTGTCTTTGCCACATTGGTAGAGATTAGTCTTTGTATGCTGTGTTCAGTAGCTGAAAAAACCTACCGTTTCATCCATTACACTTACATTTAATTACAGTTACGTTGAAACGGATGATATGGGGCTAGAAATAAATTCATCATATCTAGTCGCAGTCAGACGGGCATTACTCGCTCAGAATAGCACTGTACGAATACTTCATCCTGCCAGGAGTCGTCAGAATTGCACAGTCCATATGGTCCCTGTGGAGTCCGAACATCCAACTCGATTGTGGGCAGTCTGGGGTTCAGACTACAATCCTCTGCACGGTAGTAACGTGCAAATCAGTAGGCATTGAGCAGCGCTATTTCAACATCTAGTAACTTGAGCTTGTTGGTAGTTACTCTCTCCGTAGTTCAGTGATCTTTATCACAGACTAACGACAGTCGAGCGGCGGGTTCGAGCCTGATTTGTGTCAGACGGAATGCGCAATGCTGACATTCTCGGAAGCGATGAAACGGCCGTGCAGTTTATTCCCAAGCTTGCGATGGTTGCATAAGTGAGCCAACATGCGAAGAATTACTTCCTATACCATTCAATTCCCCTTGCCACTCCATTATAAGCAAATGATTTCATAAAATAAATGGATATTTATTAGCTGCCGACCGGTGGCCGAGTGGTCTGCACGCCTGGCTTACAAGCACAAGGTCACCGATACGAATCTGCGTGTGAGTGGGCGTCCTCGCGCTGTACTCAGCCCGCGTGCAAATGGTGGTGCTCGCGCGGCAGCGAAGCACCGTTACTGTGTACAGCTAACACATAAAAATAATGAAGCGGGGTAACCGGATATCCACTTGAGTGGCGAAAGCTAATATAATGGAAGTAAGATTTGATCCACTGGGAGGTCATGCGTGTCAACACAGTTGCGCTTGAAAATGTGGCCCATTGGTGAAGGATGCATCGCATTTACGTCAATGACAGGTGGCGAAAATGCATGTGAAATATTCCTGAACACATTTTTCAATGCTGCGAGTAATGTAAGAAGCCGTCTGTGACAGCAGAAAAGTACCCTGCTAATTCATTACGATCCAGAAAACGTAGAAGAAACAACATTTTAGAAACACAAATATTTCCCCTTCCTACGAAAATTTCAACGCTTGGACCAATACAGACATGCCCATGTGCACAGTCTGCCATGATGCTGATGGTATGCTTTAACTGATCACATGCCACAACAGTTGAAAACCGCTGCTTTGTTCTTGTGAATGTGAATCACCGGTGAAGAAAAGCGCAGGGGAACAACAATATCGGATCACAAACATCCTTCAAATATCGGATCAACTTAATCGGTGAGATTCTGCGCCACGGCACTTGAAACCTCTCAAGCGCTTAGGTTATTATCAAAGTGATTGTGGCTTTCGAGATGTCAAAGTAAATAGCTGTGTTTGAATAGATGTTTGATTTGTGGCTTTGATCTTCTGTGCCATTTTGAATGGCCTTCACTCTATCCATCAGAAGCAACAGATTAGCCCAGAAACGCGTTTCGGCGCTATTAAATAACTGAATACAAACTGACAAGACAAATTTATACAACCTCTTATCCCAATTTAAACTCGGTGCAAAAGCAGCAGAAACAGCCTGTGTGCTTTGTTCCGGAATCACTAATTAACGTACTGCACAATGGTGGTTTCAAAAATTTCGAAAATATGATGGAAGCCCTGAAGAGGTTTGTGTACGTGAATCCGAAACGGACAACAATCAAATAAGCGCCTTCCTTGAACTGAATCTACCTATTGCTTTTTGAGATCATGTCTCTGACAGCAATATTGAATATCACGGTCTTCAAGCAATTATGGGATATTGGACTGTTACAACGCATTATAAATGGGCATCACACGAATTGAAATAGTCAACGAAATCGTCCTTCCAAAGTATCCTTTTCCCTTGTACAGCTTACTAAAAACGATCTGCCTCTCTACCGTTTCCTGATGTGCAAAGGAAATTAGATCATTCATAACAATCAACGACGTGTGCTTAATGGATGTGCTGTGATCAAGCTCCGCAGCAAATCCAAAGCCGATGTTGGGCCTCAAAAGCGCTTATAGTGTCTGGTTTCTACGTCTGGTTTGATCCACCAAAGCTTACTGGGTCCACGTGAAATTATTACAGTCGAGAAGTATTTTCAGCAGATTCCCGAAACAAACCGGGGCTGCCAAGATATGTTAGGCACTGGTCAACAGAAAGTAACCAATTTCCCTCCACTATAACGCTGGGCCATACGCCGCACAACCTACCCTGCGGAAGCTGCACTAGCTGGGCTACGAAACTATGAGTCACTCACCGGAGGTACTGACATCTCCCCCACAGATTACCACTTTCAAGCACCTGGATCACTTTCTGGGAGCGAAATGATTGAAAAACCCGTGAAGCTGAAAGCGCATTCGTTGAGTTCAATGCCTCAATAATTTTTGTCAGCCAAGTGCATCCGTGGGGCTTTTAAATTCATCCTTAAGTAACTTGTGTTTATTTACGGTCGCTCAAAATGGTAATTAATGCTTTCAAGTCGCATCCAGTGGGAAGGAACATCCCTAAATGCGACGGGGTTTGAGTAGTCAAGCACAAATCAGTCTTGGGCACCAAACTGTGTGTATTTCTGTTATACTATCGTCTGAGTTGAGATTGTTCACTGAATGAACGGCAGACATTTTTCATGAGTGTTTGCGCCCGTTGCATGCAACTTTAAAGTCCGAAGGACTATCATAATTTCCTTAAGGATCAATTTGACAACGATATGGTTTCGTTTAGTTAAGAAAAGGTATAGGACTGCGGAACTTTAGTCGTCATAAATTAATAAACAGAGTTCACTTTGCAAAATTGTGTCAGCATGAATGGTTAAACTAGGTTAAATGTTTACGCTGGTAAGGTTTTCTTCCCAGTAGTTCACAAGCTACATCTTAGAGCCTATTCTGGAAAAGCATCAGAGGCGTTTCACCCTATTGGGGCTCGTCAGTGGTGCGCATTCCCTCGGTCCTCTAAGGACGATCGAACCCATGACGGCTAGCGGTAGATGCCAACTAGCTAGCAGCTTGAGCAGCGGAGCCATGGGGTAGGTGGGCTGGACTACATAATTTGCAGAATTGCAACTAAACTCCTGCTACTCGTTAGTAATATAAATGCTTATGTAGATGGAACTTGGGTATTGCCCACCCGAAAACACTGCACAACCACGACGCGTTTCGATGTAATTTCATCTCATCAGGTGGAGACAGCAGGATTTGAACCCACGACCATTGGAATAGCAGCCAACACTGCTACCCCTTTGGCTACCGGGTCACGATGGGCAACACATTTTGTCACAACGGTAGATGACTAATTGGAGGGTCAAGTTTGGATTACACGTTGTGTGATTGGATTGCGACACGCAACCTCAATTTAATGGACTGCGATTCAAATCCTGCTGTCTCCACCTGATGAGATGAAATTACATCGAAACGCGTCGTGGCTGTACAGTGTTTTCGGGTGGGCAATACCCAATTTCCATCTACTTTGAATACGGTCCCAGTGATGGTAGTGACTAAGGTTCATTACAATGTGAATCACAGCCCATTAAATTGAGGTTGCGTGTCACAATCCAATCACACAACGTGTAATCCAAACTTGACCCTCCAATTAGTCATCTACCGTTGTGACAAAATGTGTTGCCCATCGTGACCCGGTAGCCAAAGGGGTAGCAGTGTTGGCTGCTATTCCAATGGTCGTGGGTTCAAATCCTGCTGTCTCCACCTGATGAGATGAAATTACATCGAAACGCGTCGTGGTTGTGCAGTGTTTTCGGGTGGGCAATACCCAATTTCCATCTACTTTGAATACGGTCCCAGCGATCGCAGTGACTAAGGTTCATTTCAATATGAATCACAGTCCATTACATTGAGGTTGCGTGTCCCAATCCAACCACACAACGTGTAATCCAAACTTGACCCTCCAATAAATGCTTATGCTTGATATAAGATATGTGTAGTTATATCTTGGGACTTAGACCGAGACAACTATAGCAGCAATGTAACATTATCAGGATGTAGGACA